CTTGTCCACTATTCTCTCTCTCTCTCTCTCTTTCTCTCTCTCTCCTTTCCACACACACTTCTACTAATTTCCACACATTTACCCGGCCACAGTGTTACCACACCACGGAGGAGAGGCAGCAGGGTTCAACGTACCCTCAACGCGGATAGATAGAGACGCATCGCGGCCCTTGATAAATGCGGGCCGCGAGATATGACGCTTATCCACATCTCCTCTCTTCCGAGGGACAGAAAAGGGCGTGCGTTGCATGGAAGCAGTGCGTCCTTGAGGGCATGCAACCCGCGGGTGAGGCACGCTTAGAGGGACGATGCGTTGGGCCGGTAATGAGCCAAATCCATTACCGACCAACCATCTACACGGCAAACTGCATCTTTAAAACTTCTTCTCTCCCCTGCCGCCCTCTATTTCCTTGGAGGGGAAGGGCGCTTAAGGAAAGGGAGAGACAGAGAGAGGATAACCATGCCGCGCACGTATCGCTAGGTAACAACCGCCTAACCAATAGCACCGGTTGTACCTACCACAATTCCAATTATAGATCGTGAGTATATATTCGACGGTGAGGTGAACTGTCGTCGTCCCCACCCCACATCGATATCTCTTCACCTTCTCGCTTCCTGATCCCCGGCAAACCAATTAATGCAAGGAATCCAAGTGCGGGATTGAAAACTTGCCCCTAACGGATCGAAGGGATGCGCTTGGCCCTTCAAGGGTTGGTTTCACGTTGCGAAAAGCGGAAAAGTTGGAATACGTTGGAGAAAAAGAACGTATTCCAACGTGTCCATCGCGATAAAAATGATGATCGAGAACCCGGATCGATTCGGAGGACGAAGAAGCGTACGGTTTCCCGTAAAAAAAGGTTGAGTAAAAATTCGTTAACAAATACGTTAAAAAAGAACGAATTCCTGATGCATCATCTTTCGAATCCATCGAAAGATAAAAATGATGAAAAATCTAAGAAATGCTCTAAAAATTCGTTAAATTCGTTCCACAAATATGTTAAAAAAGCACGATTCTACGCAACGAATTCCATCACCTTTCGCATCCAACGCGACGAAAGTGACGAAATCGAAAACCGAGGGAGGGAATATCCTTAAATCGCTCCCGATCCTGCTTCGAGGACGGCTGAAGAAGCGTACGATTTTCCAAAAAAGAAAAAAGAGGACAGAGACGGGCGAATTCCACGAAGGAACCGGCCGCCACCGAATGGGCCACTGCAACGTCTTTCTCTTTTCTTTTTTTTTTTTTTTTTTTTCCTTCGCCACAAATCGCGGATCCTCCGGCGCGAATATCGACACCGATTTCACGGCTATCACGTATGACGTGGCTGACGCGTCCTACGTCGCTACAATTAAACCGGCCGGCAAGGTATCCGCAAGGTCGCCACGAAACACCGGATATACACACAGGTGCGGCGGGCAGGTGTGCGTGCGCGCGTGTTGAAACGGGTGGTGGTGGAGGATGGCACGAGAGGTGCAACAGCCTTTGGAGGAGGAGAGGAGGGGCCAGTGGCGCCACGCAATTGTCAATTAACATTTTTACCGCCGTGTAAGAAAACACGAAGTTACGTGCCAGTATACGTGGCCACCGCACACGAGCCACACGATGAGCTGGCTCGACAGGGTTCCAGGGATCCCGGCCGCGGACCTCGAGGAGGAACGAGAACCGCGCGTTGGACGGAGTAACTTTTGCAGAGAGAGAGGGAGAGAGGAGGAGGAGAAGGAGAGCGAGAAAAAGAGAGAAAGAATCGAAAGGATACGTTTCGTTACGATTATGGGCGCAATGGATCGGTAATCGTAAGCGCCTCCTGACTACCTATGAATTTCTGCACTAGAAATTGTACTTATGAGAAGAAGAGTATCGTTTTTCCACGCGTAACGTGGGAACGCGGGGAGTTGTGTGAGAATTTTTGCGCGTTTATTATACCGATATTTTTGGAAATTTCGTCGAAAAAAGGTACGAAGTATATCAAACAAGGTAAAGTTTCCATGAAAGGGATCCAGATAGGCAATAGGTGGAAATAGGCCTATATTTCCAGATTACTCGTTCTTTATTACACCGAACGACGCTCTTACGATACTCGTAATATCACGTTGCGAGAAACCGCGATAGCTTCGAATATTACATTTAATAAGCTGGTATCGGCTTCGGGTCTCGATTACACGATGAAATTTATCGATCCTGTTCCCTTCTTTGCTCTCCTTTCTAACGGTAACCAGAAAAAAAGAGAGGAAAAAACTTCTTTTCGAATCGAACCTCCAAGTTTTCAATTCGAATTCAAAACTCGTCCCTTCGTTAAACTCGATAAAGCTCAGAAATTCAACGATTCGGGAACGAAAACGAACCCGAGAGGCCAATATCCTCGTGGTAAAACACGCGCAAGATCGGCATTCTCTCCTGAGTGCCAACATCGTCACGCTCCTGAAAAGGAAAAGCGAGGCCTGTGCTCCATCGGTCAAACGATACCCTCTCGTGCGCCAAGTTTTACGAGTTGCAAATGTCGGGCACTCGAACAGCCCAGTCAACCGCACCATCAACCTTTCTTTTCATTCTTCCCCTCATCTCGATAAACTCGCGACGAAGGGACCAGCAAACCGCACGCTTCCAAAATTATGGATCTCTGTTATAATCTCGCGGCGAAACTAGTTGTCCACGCTCCTCACAATGGAATGAAAGAGGATCGGTGATTTGAACGCGCGGTATAGCTGCACAGGCGAGATCGATCTTTCCACGGTGGACGGACGCAGTTCATGAAACGGAAACGTAAAACGGACAGAGAGAAGGGTTTTGAGAAGGGTTTGTTTTTCCGACCGGTACTTCGAATCGCGAGCACGTAAATAATTAATGCGAGGGAACGATTCGAGACGGGCAAGAACTTGATTACCGAATCACATTTTTATTCTCTATCTAAATTTTAAATCGTGACTACGAAATTTTCGATTAATGAGAGAATCGAAGGAAGAGATTGATTATCGAACCAGATTTTTATTCTCCGTGCTATCTAAATTTTAACTTCGAAATTTTCGACAATTTGATAGAAAATTATTATTATTTGATAAAGAATATATATCGGTTTGTACAACTCGAGCGTACAAACAAAGTGGGGAGAAGGAAGGACTAAAAAGTAAAAGTTACGTTTCAAGATTGACGATACTACTATTAAATCCAAGCAAGTCTGATGTAATTAAAGGGAAAATGTTGGCAATTTCTTGCGTCGTTTCTTTTTCTGATACGTACAAGTCTGCAACTTTGTAACTACACCTTTTAACACCTTGTTATTTGAGACCGATTTTAACTCCGAACAACTCTCGACCGCCTATTTTAATGAAACAACTTTTTTTCGCGTTTTATTTCCATCCGTTTTGTATCTCGTTTTTTTAAAAACACGTTCACCACGTTGTACACGTTATGAGAAATTTCTCATACGTTGACCGCTAACACGCACCTTAAGACGTACCATTATCAGTTTTCGATACTTGCAGACCGACAGTTACACATACCGATGGAACTACCGTCTAATATGCGATTCCATGAATTCAGAACACGACTTCATACGGTGTTCAACCTTAACCACTGTAAAACAGCCTATTTTTCTTCTTCGACGATTTTATACGTATTATACGTAACTACGTAATAGTTAATGTTAATTTAAGCATCCAGAAATGCTTCTTCTCTTCCCATCCTTTACGACTACCAAGATAGAGGAAAAAGAAACTGATGATGGAAATCCCTAAACGAAAGATTACGAAAATAAAGAGAAGACGATCAAAGATGTGTGTCTGTTAATGCTGCTAAATACATTGTTAGACAATTAGGGGGATCGTTTAATCAAATAATTTTATAATCAGGAAAAATCTGTTAAAAATAGATATTTGATGATATTTTTTTTTTAATTCCGATTAAGTTCGATTTTCTTCATTAGATTTTATTTTTTCTTTTATTTTAAATTTTCTATGGTTTGTTTCGGATGGTTTTACGGAACGTTGTTTCAAATTTCAAATAAACCGGTAAATTTATTAAATTGACAATTAATAAATGGATTATTATGAATGTAATATGCATCCGGGGTGTAATTCGTAAATTACTTTCCTAAATTAATAGCAATCTATCGACAGCATCGAAACCACTACGGTGCAATTAATAATAGGGGCGGAGACCACCTATATGGTGACCAAAGTTATACACAGTCGAACCCTTTGAGGCGGAAATTCCCCGTTATAGCTCTTCTGAGAGCCATTAAAACTTTGCTCACATAACAAACGGCGGTACGAGAGGTAATATCGCGGCCTAACGAGAACACATGATGATGTACATACGTTTCCTATAGACGAATTCAAACAAACGTAAAATTCGAGAAATTTGATGAAACGAAAATAATGAGAGAAAAAGAAAAAAAAAAAAAACAAATAAAATAAATTCTGATGTAATTCTTACTTTTGAGAGATTCAATAATACGGAAAAGAACGCGGTTGAAAAGCTAACATTTCGCAGAAACATGCTGAATAAACACAGAAAGTCCACGGTTAATTCTCGAGCGAGTATTTATACAGGAAAACATAACAGTTACTAAGCTGAAGTATGCAGAAACGTTGCTCTGCGTAAAAACTGTGAACGACAAGTTACATGTCGTTTCTTAGTAGTTTCTTAGAGTTTATTATTAACTTGTCAGAGTTATACGTTTGAACATTCGATGAAAATGTAATAATTTCTATTTTCTGTTTTAAATTTGTATTCACCTTATAAAAATAAATGTTCTTTTACTCAAAAGTTTATCGCGAAAAATATAATTATCCGATACGTGAATATTTTATCAGATAAGAATCATATATATATATATATATATTTTTTAATGTTTAACTTTTGTAATTATTCTCAAATTGGTTATTTTTAATTATGGATAATAAAATTACTCACCCTATCTTGTTGATCAGTTTCCCATGAACGTGAAGATAAGATGTGACAAATCGTTTATTCACCTAAAACATACAAAATCCACAATTTACATTAAAATATAATATAAATAATTATTAAGAAAAAATATATTTAGAAAATATAATATATTTAAAATTATAATTTTGTTTTTTATTTAATTAAACAACAATAAAAAATAGAGATAAAAAAGAAAAATAATTCTATTACCTCGACACTGCTTAATTGTGCCAATTCCTCTAAATCACTATGAGATAATCTCGCTTCACTGGCAGTGGCTGCAGTAGTTGTACGACGAACTCGTCTTCCACCAGGATGAACCCAAATTTCTCTCCTTAGTCCTCCACCAATATTGTTCGCTCCTTCTTTCTCTTTCATTCTGGCCCGTTCTTTCCATTCTCTCTCCTCTTTCCTTTTCCGTTCCGTTGATTCATACTGTTAAAATATATTAAAATTCAATTCTAAATCTAGTTGCATAATTAAGAACAGCATAGTGCATAGCGTAAATGAGAGTTCATTGTATACTCGGGAATCCCATCAAGTATTTATATCCTATTATATATAAAATTCTCTCAAATACTAATGAAAGATACAAGCATCATACACATAAAGCATAATAGGATCCATTTGAATGTTTGTACCTTTCTTGTACTACAACTATTTAAAAAATATGCATGCTAGTATCATTATGCGAAACAGTGCTAATAACTAATAGAAATAGTGCTTTGATTTCTAGAAAATAATTTAGTCAAATGCAATGGATCGAATAATATTCAAACTATATATATATATATATATATACATATACATATTTCTATTATTCATAAACACTACCACTTCAAATTACTAATTACGCTATCTGTTTTATTTAAGCATAGAATGATTTGCTTTTAATTATAATTGTGCGAGAAATACTGATTTCTATACACTGAATTATTAATAATTGAAAGCGTGCGAGAAGGCATATGATGCATAAAGAAAATGCACGTAAAACAAAAGTTAAAAAATATTATATCAATGCACGTAAAACAAAAATTATAGATTATATTAGATTGCTCGAAGATAAAGAGAACTACTTCAAGCTTTAATTAAGATAATAACCGGTACTTAGAAATATCACACCAAGTATCGAAATTTACTTACATAATGTAGATACTGGCAGCAAAACAAAATCAAAATATTATTAACGTTAGTATTAATACAAACATATAAGTAAGATATTTGAACATTTATCCTACCTTTTTTCTATTTTCATCAAAAAGTGCTATTAAACTCTCTCTCGCGGAATGGAAAGGATTAGATGCCATAAGGGATCGCATATAATAATAT